GCCTCGCCCCGGCCGGGCCCGCTGCACAGCCCCCGGCGCACTTCCAGCCCGGAAAGTACTTCCCGTCGCCGCTGCCCATGGCTTCGCACACAGGTCAGTGCCGGCCGGGGCGGGCGCGGGAGAGGAGGCCCAGCCGCGAGGTGGGCACAGTCAAGGGTGTAATGCGCGCCCGCCCCTCCTCTCCTTGGAGCATTTGCGGAGAAGCCTTCGGTTTCATTTCCCTGCTCTGGCACCGGTGGCAGCCCGCTCGCGGAGCAGCTCCCCGCAGGCCCCCGAGCAGGATCATCGTGGTTTAGAGCGGCCTTCCCCGGGGTCTCCCCGGGGTCTCCGAGGGGCAGCCCCGAGCCGGCTAAAAATAAAGCCTTTCCGATCCTGCTACCCTCCCCCACCCCTTCCTGCAGAAGAACTAAATTCCGCGGAAACCTCATTTCTGCATTTTGCATTCACATCCTTAAGACATTCCGGGGCTAGGACAACGAGGCACTTTCTGCGGGAACAAAACGGCTGTTGTGACTGGGGTGAGGGGCGCGGGGTGCGCCGCGGCCTCGTGGATTAGGGCGGTGTGTGCACGGAGTAAGCGTTAATAGGGACTGCTGGTGTAAGACGAGCAAATCCTGTTTCTATATAAAGCCTTGAAGTGTCAGGGCGAGAATGGGTTTGCAGGGGATGCATTTGCTTTAACAAGTGCTTCTGGTATCCTGCTAAAGCCGGACAAAGCATCGCCAGAGAGTGGCCCAGCCTCACGGCCCGCAGCCCAGGGGGAGGGCAGCGCCCGGCGCCGCCTCGGCTGGGGGCGGCGCGGGGGCACCTCAGGATTTCGGTGCAGGCGAGTGCGCAGCGAATTTGCTCCAAGAGGAGAGAGCTGAGGGCCGCCCGGCGCTCCCGTCCTCTCGGATCCCCTCCCGGAGAGGAGAGGGTCGGTTTCTGGCAGAGCTGACCCAAGCCTCCAGAGCAGTCCGCCTCTCCGGTGGCTTCGATATTACTGTTGAGCCAGGTCAGAAGAGAAGTAGGGCCAGGGGGAGGGTGGTGAAGAGGCAGCTACCTCGCTTAGATCCTGGAGGTCGCTGGCCAGCACCCACTGAGTTTGCAGGAGGCCAGCGGGGCTCTGCGGGGGGACCCGCTGGCCACCCGTGAAGGCTGGCTTGCTTTTGTTTACAGTTTGTTCTAAACATCAGAAATGTTGTTTGCCGCTTTTTTTGTTGTCGTTAATTTGGCAGTAACAGTTATTGCTAGCTTGATGAACTGTGAATACTAATAAAATTATGTCTGCTTTAATGGGATTACAATTAGTGTGTGGATTAAAACCGATGGCAGAGTTGGGCTAGAAGGGAAAATGTCAGAAGGGAGGGCAGTCAGAAAGAAAAACGTAAATTTCCTAAAAAGAAAAAATATGAGAAATCCCGCGTACTTACTAATGGGCTTTTAGCATTTACAACATGAGGAGATTCAAAAAGTTAAAGGGAGCCGGCATGGAGGGGCTGGACTCCTGGCTCTCCTGGAATCAGCCCCACGCTGCTGTTTCCTGTTGCAGTGCAAGCCTTCTGCACGCCTGCCTGCCCGTTCTCCTCTTCCTTGCTCTTCTTGCCTTCTCTTTTTTCTTCTCTAGATTTATAACTCAAGAGACAAAAAGTACTTGCCTGGGCAATTGGTGATTTAAAAATATCAGTCCTGCTGTCCCTGCAGTTCACTGTGTCTCCTGCGCCTGCATTGGAGATGCTGCCCACCCAGCACGGCCCACATTGGGGGGCTGTGAGTGGGGGCTCTTGGTGGCAGCAGGGACAGAGCCACAGCTTCCCTAACAGCCCCTGCTTCTGGCTGCAGGCTAGTGGCCCCTACTAGGAGTAGGGAGGCTGAGCCTGCAGGTTGGGGGATGGGGAGGGAGCGCCCCCCCCCCCCCCCCGCCCCCATTGCCATGCTCTCTAGCCTAGCAGGTAACAGAATCATAGAAACAAGGGTTTGGAAAGGCCCCTGACCCCAAGGCTTTCCTCATGATGCACAGGCAAGCTGGGGCCATCCCCCCTGGGGAGGCTCTGCCAGGCCGCATTCCCTTTCAGTTCAGGTCACTGCTGCCTCCTCATCTCCTTCACCAGCTCACAGCCTGGCCAGGTCCTGGTCAGCTGCCATTTCCCCTTTGCCATATTTCCAGGTGCAGGCACCAAGGAATCAGGTGGGAACGTGGTTGGGTGGCCCGAACCTTTGTCTTGCTCATTCCAAGTTTGACCACGTGGTTCTTGGAGAGTAGGCCCTGGGGGATTTGGAGAAACTAGGCTGAGCGCTGGCCTGGTCTGTGTCCTTGACCAAACCCTACCAGCCTCCCCCACACGCAGGGTGCTCTAGAGGGCGCTGGAGGCCCTCAGGGCATCCTCAGATGGGGGCTGGAGGGCTATGTGTCCCCTGCCCCTGGAGGTCGTTTCCACCCCCCTGGGGGACTGGGGAGACCTTTTGTGCTCAGAGGTGTTCAGCCTATTTGTGATGGAAAGGCTGGCCAAGCGAGCGGGCATCTAGCTACAAACATCTGCTGCTGAAAGCCTTTTGAAGTTGCTGAAAGCCAGAATATTGCATTGGTTTTTGAAATTTAGCTATGTCAATTTTTTTTAAGGAATTATACCCCAGATTACTTTGTTTTGGTCTATATCTATATATGATCTAATTTAGAAAGAAAAAAGTATAATTAAGTTAAAAATTTTTTGTGTCTTGTGTGGATTTCCAAATGGCCAGCTTGGCGGACTTCCTTCCCATTTCCGCGGATGGCCTTGGGTCTGCAGGCCTCGCTGCAGCATCCCAGCTGCCCCTCCCAACACCGACTGCCCCACTGAAAGGAAAATTGCTCGGGGCTCTTTCCTATTTGTCTGGCTGTAACAGGGGAGTAGGATCTACCATCAGACATGGAGTCCCTGGCTTCTGAGGACTGCTCGGCACTGGCACGGCCACCTGCGCTGGGCCAAGGGTCTCCCTCCCCGCCCGCTGCCTGTGCTGTCCTTGTCATCCCCACCCAGTGCTTTCAGAATGTCAGGTTGAGAGACCCTGATGGGATGTTGGGCTCCAAGGCTGCTTCTATTGTTTTTCTAAAAATGAAAGTGCTGGCAGCTTTATAATCGGGCTGTAGGGTTTTATGGTAAAGTGCTGTTCCAGTAACCTTGTCACCGAAAGGTGCAATTAAAACGTTTGGAATCATTATTTTTAGTGCAGTGTTAGATTTTGTCTCTAATACAGATGGTCTGGAGGCAAAGCTGTGAAATCTAGGGGGGAAAAAAGGAAAATCAACAACGCATCAACCCAAGATTTTTCATCAGCACTCCTGCCTGGGGCAATTGGGGATCGCGCCTCTCCCCGAACGTGTGTAATGAGGAGGCAGCCTGGCTTGGGAGAAGCCTGGGCCCTGCCTCCCTGCTGCCGGGTCAGCTCCTGTCCTCCATCCTTCTGTGTACATCCCCCCTACAGGGCCAAGCCTTGGAGAATCCGGGTCTCCACCCAAGGGAGGTGGAGGTGCCGATCCAGTCTTGGTTTCAGCAATCTGACTGTGGGCTGGGTTCTCCCCTCTGCCCCGTCTCTTGTCTTCTTTGGGGTATAAATGGCCCTGTCTGGAAGCCAGGTGCCGTGGGCCTGAGGGTATTGGGAGTAAACCGGGCAGCAGGTCCCTTCTGGTGAGAGAACTGCAGACTCTTTCCTGCTAAAAGTGCTTCTGATCAACAGTCTCAAAAAGAAAAAAAAGAAAAATGCAGTAGAGGGTAAAAGATAATTTCCTAGTGTGAAAAGACCCCATCAAAGGTTCCCCCTCCCTCTATATGTGATATTTTTTTGTAAAGAAAAAACTAACATTTTCATAAATACCTCATTAACTCAATGACACGATGGAGTGTTTCTGCAACAGTTACCAACGTTAAGTAGGTGTGAAAAGAGTTACTTTCTGAAGACTACCCATCCTGCTCTGTAAGTGACAGAACCAGACATCAAAGCTGCCCGCCTACCCTCCGAGCCCCGGGAATCCAGCAGCTGGGCTGCGTAGACTGGCCAGGCTGTGGCTGCCTCCCTGTCCCACTGTAGCCATTTTCGGAATGTGGATTTTTTTCTCAGTGGGGCTTGTGCTGCCCCGCCATGTCTGATTATTCCTATAAGGATTATTCCTATAAGGATATATAGGAATATCCAGGTCACATGAGTAATAAGGCAAATTAGTGAGCAAGGCAGGGAGTGGCCTTGTGCAAACTGCACGTCTCCCCTAGAAAACACGGGCACCCCCAAATGCTCCCCGGTTTTTCTTAGAAATCTCCCTCCTCTTGCTGTGAGCCTGGGTTCAACAGCCGGCACAGACAGGACAAAACGCATAGGAGGCTGTTGGAATAACATGGATGAGGCTAAAAATACCCCTCAGAAACACACATAAAAAAGCCAAATCCAACAACAGAATGAGCTAAAAATATTCCAGACTTTGGCAAAGAGCACAGAGTTAAATAAATTATACAAGAGCCATTCATGGGAGCAAGTTGACTTTCTCTCTTACGGGAACTTGGTTCAAGCTAATAAAAATAATAATTTACTAGCCACTGAGCTTTGCATGAGTTTAAATTTAATTGGTGGGGCTTCTGGCATTTGTCACTTCTTGGCGATTAGTGGGCTTGCCCTGGCCTGGGGTGGGATGGGGAGGGGCTGCTAGGCCTGGGTCCTTGGAAGCAGAGGCAGTGTCCCCCGAGGGGCGGGGCCTGGGGGCAAGGGCAGGCTGCCCAGGAGGCCAGAGGAGGAGGGAGGCTGCAGGGGTTGGGCAGAGAAGGCAGGGTGGGGCTATTTTAATTTGATAGATGATGGTACACCTTTAAGAGTGTGTTTTAACAATCAAGATACACTCCAGCAAGTTGATAGGATGTTCGCTGTCAACTTACATATGTCATCGGAGCGAGCTGTGAGCATAAATAATGTGCAAGAGCATGCGGGTTGCACTGTAGCCTCTTGGAGCCCAGCAGGTAGCACCCCTGTCCCCTGGTGGACGCTTCTCTCCCCTGATGTCTAGGGGCAGCAGCCAGAGGAGGACAGGAGTGGAGGCATTTTGGTTGGGGTCTTTGCTCTCTGGGGAGTTCCCAGATCTCCCCACCAAAATA